TGGTGGGTCCCGGAAGAAGATGGCCGCCGCCCGCAGAGGGATGACCCGCCGGCCAGGAGTGGCACGGCTCAAGGGACACGGTCATCAGGGACCACGCAAGGACAATGTTGTATTAGGAACCCGGAAAGGACGGAAGTTCGGGAAGAGACATCGGGCGAAACCGGAAGACATCGCTAGAATAAGGACCCAAGGCTCAAGACATCAGCTACGACTGGAAAGCGAGGGAAATATTAACGAGACATTCAAGGAGACCCTAGGGCTGGATATGGTGAAGCAAATGGCCGGATCTCCCGACAGGATTCGAAAAATGAGTAACTGGGCATTGTGGAGGAGTTAGCCCCTTCCGAAACGAAACAAGAGACGGCACACGGAATAGAAGCCATATACAATGTAGGAGCACTGACCACTCTCGGAACTCTTGGCCGCACCAGCCGATGGAAGATGATGGTGATAAAACTGGACCGACTGGCACCCTATGAGGGAACCTCTCAGGATGCGCAGCTTTAAGGAGAAGTGGGAGCGTTTGGAGATAGGTTACAGTGAAAACCGAGCCACGGGAAGGAAAGCGAGACCGGCCACAGATGTTGCAAGCACAGCCCTCGAAAAGAAATGATGGTACGCCTATAGGTTACTTGGGATGAATAGCCTTAAGGGGGGAGGGCAATGTGGCGTATAGACCCGTTGCTACGAAAGGGCCTAGAAACAAACGAGACAGCGGCTGTTGCTTGGTAACAACCGGTAAACACTCAACAATATCCAGGCTATTGCTAGGCAACCGCCCACAACAAAATAACTACTGGGGACGGTGTTTTCTGTTAGGTCCTCCCCGAGGCTATATATAACGAGGACCCCAGGTTAGCTGAGCGGGACTAAGAGAAGTTCAGTTGGAGTAGGGGATTCAGTGAGTTCAGTTGTGGGATATTCACTGGGCAGGAAGGACCTGAGAGCAGGAAGCTGAAGAATCTCCACTCTTAATATCCGTTACCAGGAAACGGCTGTTGAAGACACTTCGGGTTGGAGAAGACTTAATTAATTGCTAGTGGGGTGGGACTAAGTCCCTTTTACTGCGGCCACTTCTGGCCTATTGTACCAGCCCCAGATGATAGGTGAGGGTGATTGTGGAGCAATTGGTGGAATGAAGATTGGCAGGGGAAACCGAAGTACTCAAAAGAAAACCTGGCTCAGCGCCTCTTTGTCCACCACAAATCCCACTTGACCAGACCCGGGATCGAACCCGGGTCGCAGCGGTGGGAAGCCAATTACTAACCGCTTGAGCTACGGCGCGGCCCTTGGAGAAAACTTAGCGTTTGCAACACTGATTTGTAAAGAGTGGAGATCAGCGATGGCGCTGTAAATACAGGGTTATTCAAAAAGAATGAACCGATTTTATTATGCAATATTTTATTAAAGGAAAGTAATACAAAACTCCAGCCAAGTCACAAGTATTCTACTCACAATCAACTTTTATTTCCTGTCTTACAAGTGTTCAATGTGGCCACCCCCTGCAGCACGGGCAACATCAGTGCGATAAGAGAATCCCTCCCAGGCGCGTATCAGCATATCACGATGCACTGAGTTAATCGTTGATGTTATTCGCTGTTAAGGTCATCGAGGTTAGTGGGTAGCGGTGGAACATAAACGTGATCTTTTACATATCCCCACAAGAAGAAATCACACACGGTGAGGTCTGGGGATCTCGCAGGCCAAGCACAAAGAGCAAGGTCTTTGGCCCCCTTCCGACCAATCCATCGCTGGGGCACTTTTTCATTTAAAAAAGCTCGGACCATCAGGTGCCAATGGGGCGGTGCTCCATCTTGTTGAAAAATGAAGTCATGCGAATCTGCTTGCAGTGAAGTGAAGAGACAGTTTTGGAGCATATCGAGATAAGTTTGTCCTGTAACGGTTTTTCCTTCAAAGAAAAAGGGACCATAAACCTTGTCCTCAGACACAGCACAGAAGATGTTCACCTTAGGGGAATCTCTTTCGTGCTCAACTGTTTCATGTGGGTGCTCTGTTCCCCAAATATGCACATTGTGACGACTGACTGTGCCGCTCAGTGAAAAGTCGCTTCATCATTAAAAATTAAACGTGAAATGAAGGTTTCGTCTTCCAGCATCGAATCGCAAAATTCCATCCGCTTCCTTTTGTCATCATTGGTGACTGGTGTCAAGTGCCTGAACGAGCTGCAGTCTGTATGGTTTCAAATGTAGACGTACTGTTTGCACACGCCAGACAGTGGATTGAGGGATCGCAATCTCACGGCTAGCTCGATTTGTTGACTTCCGCGGGCTCCTCTCAAACGCAGCACGGATTCTCGCCACTTGTTCCTCCGAGACTCGTGGTCGTCCTGGACTTTTTCCTTTACACAGACANGAACAAGTCCTCCGGGAGGGACTTTAAGCCGTGGGTCCCGTGTCGTAGCTTTACAGCATGTAAAAGAACCTCATATCTCCAAAGGAGGTCACTGAGCCAAATTCAGGACATTTCCCGCCCAACAGTAGTCTCTAACGCCTCCGATAGATGGGGGAAGCATTATAGATACCGCCAAGCCAGTAGAGGCGAACTCGCTGGCTCGGTCGGGACTGATGGTACGCACCAATATCGGTAGGGTATAGAGACTGGTAGAATATCATAGAGGGAAGCACAATGGACCAATACTGGTCTAAGTGCATGGGGAAACCCACCCTCTCTAATAACTAACTAACTAACTCCTCTTTCAAATGGTCGCTGACTCATTCCATGACGATGCTTGAGAACTGAAGCAATGCATCATGAAATCGGTTCATTCTTTTTGAATAACACTGTACTTCTAGTTCTGAGTCGTGTCAATAAATCCAGTATCCAATCCATACACCATCTATAGTCACCCATAAATCATGTCTATATCCTTTGCAGAGTCCTTTTGCCTACAAAAAAAAAAAAACGCACAACAGAACGCTGATCTTCGGTAGTACACCCTCAAGCACAGTCGCCATTTTGACTAATGAAACCAGCCTCTGTACATGCTCACATGCATCTGGTACCTATACTGTCATGAATCTGGATAGTGTTGCTACATAGTGACACATGTAGAAAACCTATTATGTCCATTACAGCTAGTTTTCTTCCATTTATGGCCTATTTATTGACTCTCCCTCGTACTTCAGAATCTTGATACTGAAAGCACTGTTAAATAACCCATTATATCTATCTACTGTTATTACAAATGAATACATATCTTCATCAGTATGACCCTTCTTCTGTCATGTTGTTTTTGCAAGCTTCCTGACTTTTTTTTGCACAAAGGTCTCCAGTCTTTTGAAGAACATATCCTCATATAACTCCACACCAGTATTCATTTTAAACATGAAATTGTGTCTTACAACAAGTTCTTTCACCAATGGGATTCTGGTTAGGATGGTATGGTGGAAATCACAATATATTTGGAGCAACTGATCAAGAAGGCAAGTTTTTTGGTGGTTTATGAATTTTAACAAGTGTCAACAATTCTGACAAAATCATTAATGGTGAGAAAGGATTTTCTTTTCTGTTGTAGCAAGTTAATGATCTCTTGTTTTGTTCAGATGGATATCAGTGTCTTGCTTACTTTGATGTTCGAGTACAATGCACTTTCAGTTACAACCAATTCTGCAGGAAGATTTGGAATCAGTTTCTCCTTCACCCATTTTCTATGGTTACTGGTGTCATTTGATCATGACAGTCACCATGTGTGATCCAGAATTCCACATCACCAGAGAAATCAATATAAATCCCTTCTCCCCACCATGGTGGATATTATTACCTTTCACTCTTTGAAAGGGAAACATGAAGTCCTTCATTTCACCTTTCTGCCCATGATGTCCTCGAAAAATATTTAATTCATCCATGTAAATTACGGGTTGATTCATGTCCCTATAGTAAGAAATGCATTTCAAATGACTCTCTCAAAAGTCTCTCTAGTATTATTATAGTATTCTCAAAGAGGATCTTCCATGATTCTTTGGTGATTTCCACACAAAACCAATGATTTGAAAATGTATCTCTTGTTCTTCTCTTTCTTTGAAATTTGTTTATATTTTAGAGTTCTATCTTCTGGGTTGTAATGTTGTGTAATCTTTTGAAAGTTCATGAATGTTTCAGAGCTCTGCTTACCGCCTGCTTCAATCCTGTAAATGGAGGGGACATGCTCTTCTGAAATATTGGTTGACTTTCAATGGACTACATGGCAGTATGCCCCAAAAGATAGAACCCTTCATAATCATAGCTGTTAGAACGTCAAACCCTACAGCATATTTTTCTTTTCATAACATTTTGGCAGTGATGTACAATTCATCAAAAGTGCTTCACACAACAACACAAAAGAATCACTGAAAGTGTAGAGACCCGTTACAGGCTTTCATACTTCTTGGGCACAATGAACAAGCACTTTGCGTTTTCTTCTCCTCTTATATTTTTATGTTCCTTTGGAAAATTTTCATGGTACCATGGAAACATCATATGTAGCGGCAGTTCATACTTGTATTTCCAGTGGGATGAAATATTTACCTTTTAATTTAATTCCCCCCAAATTTTGCAAGATATTGTAACATGTAGGGTGCTACTCATGATGAAAATAATGGGTTCTAGTTTGGACGATTGGATATATTAGCACCTTGGTTACAAGTTCTGTTAATCACACTTAAATTCAGCGCCATACCTGATTTACACAATTTCCAGTTCACCGTTGCACACACACTAGGATAGTCCATCTTCACTAGTCATGTTCTGGCAACAGATCTCAACACAGAAACTAGCACTTCTACTCACTATGAGGATGTGGATATGTGTAAGTGTATGTGAGTATCTTGTACTATGGTGGGACAAAACCACAGTCCACGAAATCATTGATTGTAGTACTATTACAGTGATTATTCAATCCTTACCTTATCATTTACAGATTATCAGAAATTAAAAACATATGAAAGATGTAAATTCTATCACAGAATATATTAAGTATATCTTACAGACGAAAAACTACTTACTAATGTCATATCAAGACCTGAGGGATTGGCAGCATTGTATTCTGTGATTAGGAGTTGCAGATGTTCACGGGTAACTCTCAGGCATGTTCCAGCATCTTCCTGCACAAAAATAAATACAAAAGCTAAGAATATACTGTTGGAATGATTTAACACCAACTAACATTACACTGTTCTCACACTATTTAGACTGTGCTCCTACCCAATGGATAATAATAATCACTTTATAATGGGCTAGATATGAAGCTGACTTTCTCCATTCCTTCTGCTGCTGAGGCCTCTGATTACATGGAGCTTTCCCTTCTGTTTTTTACAAACTTCCATAATGTAATGCAAATATAAAGGGACACCTTTTGGAAGTTCATATAGTTAGTATATTTTAAGGTGGATAATTAATTATGGCTTTTACAATAACTACTGCCCTTTAAAAGTACTGAAATAAGAAGGTGAGCTAATCACTCAACAGTGACGTTCAGATGGTTTTTATACCAGCAAAGAGAGTGTATCTCTAAAATCCACGTGGAATAATAATGATTCACCATTAACATGTGTTCTGTGTTTAAATATGGCAGTGAATATTCTCTGTGGTTATGTACACAGTAAAGTTTGAGGAATGTCTTTCAGGATGTGATGCCATACAGTCTGTCACATCCCAGAAAATTGTACCCTTCACAGTCAGTGCTGTGAGGACCTCAAATCCAACAGTAAAGTATCTCCATAGTATTAAAGTAAACGTAAGATCTTGTGATTAACGTTTTAGATTTACACCTAGTACTTGAGCTTTAAACATTCCAGCTTCTTACACAGCTATAACTGGGTTGGCATCTCATTTCAGATGGTTATAATCATGAAATCACATCAACCTTATATCAGTCATGAGGATAGAAACAGAGGAACTTTCTGCAATACAGGTTTCTTATGTCAAACATCTCATATGGCTAAAACCCAGTAAGAATTTACTGAATCTCAATGTCCTTCTGGAACTAATTTGAGACCCCAGATTCACCTTTGAGGAAACTTCTTGCAGTAAAGGTTCTAGGCTTGGATCAGTAATCTCTTCAAGGCCAACTACATGTTCCACACCCTCCAATTCTGCATCTGGTACAGCAGCACCTCTGTCTTCAGTATCATTCTCACCACGGCAGTCAAGTTTTACCAAATTTCGGCACTGAGGATGGCAGGTATAGTGACAGTCTGAAACAACAAATTTCACATGTGAAGTTTTCATTATAAATACAGGATCTATGGATAAAAAAATCAAGTATCTTGATGTATTAATGGTGCTAGGCAAAAGGGATAAAACCAACTTTTATTCAAAATTATTAACAAACACACTTTTAAAGTTGCATTTACTATACATTTATGCACAATCTGGGAACATACAATTTACCATTCCTGCAAAGACTTGTTCTGAAGATGGTGTTGGTTATCTCTTGTAATAGCAGTGCAGCTATCATTGAACTTAATGCATAAATGTACATCTTGTATAGAATTACAGCTTCTTCCTTCCTCCATAAAATATGAAGCAATGTTACTACCACACTTCAGTGTGCTCTATCAGTATAAAGCCTATTAATGATTTGCCTGACTCATTACTGCCAAAGGGCCACAATGAGGCAGTAAAAATTTCAGACAGGGCACAATTTCTTTTCATCTAACCAGTGACTTGGACTAGATGCATCTGTAGACAAGATAACAGCAACAGTTGATAAATATCCTACTTTATTTACTGTAACAATTATAACATTTTAAAATTTATATTTACGTAATTTCTGATTAATCCTTATGAACGAGTAGTTCAGGCTCATGCATGGTATTCAGAAGCTGAAGGGTTCAATTCTCACCTCAGAGACAGGCTACTCTAAGTGATGTTTTCTATGGTTGTCCTCAGTCCCTCCAAGTACGTGCCAAGTTTGTATCTTAAATTAGACCATGGCCACTTCCATTGACAGTGCTTCCAAATCATTATTCACTAATCGCACAATTCAACACTGTATAATCTCAGGTTTTGAAAGTATTGTTAATGAAACCAAAAGTAAATAAATATACAGTAGAACTTGGTTATAACGTCATCAAAGGGACCTAAAAATAGTGTCGTTATAAACGAATGTCGTAACCGAAATGGGTACTTCCACAGTAGCCTTATGTTAGTCACATAAAAATCTACCAAAAAACCGAGTTAAAATGTTGCATTTTTTAGTGAAATACGTAGTTAAGTGCAGACTAACGTAACATTAACGTGGAATTGCCCAAATGTGTAATATCAAAGACACATTACAGCGCTTTTCACTGACAATACACACCACATTAATACTGTACTGTATATTAAAGGTAGGCCTACTCACCAAATTACAGTAGATTACATCAATTGTTGTGCCTTACTGTACCTAGATACGAGTACAGTAATCAGTTATCTTCATCTGTTTCCTGTTACTTGCCCAATACACACTTTCTAAATTACGTTAACAACCTGCCGCATCCTCTTGCACTATTCACGCAGTCCCAACCCACACCCTTGTTTTCTTTGTGCATNTAAAACCCACGCTCCTCTTGCAGCCCGCGGTCATATTCTTCCAGGACAGTCACGTCAGCAAGTAGAGAAAGTGAGGGTGGGCAGACACATCGAACTTTCCCACGATATCAGAGAAATTCAGGAATGAAAATGACGTTACATACAAGGTTGATGCATTTGTGCATGTCGTACTAAGCAAGGTATAAAAACAGTTGCTTTATGAGGAATTAGTTCGTACCATTGAATATTTGACGCAATAGACAAGGTGTCGCAGAAACCGATGTTGCTATAACCAAGTTTTACTGTATAAAATAAACAATATTATTTTTGAAGTGTTTACTACTTCAGACATGCAAAAGTGAAGGCTAAAATTTTCAATTACTTTATTTACACTGTAGCTCAAACAATTTCACCAGTCTTGACATCTTCTATTTGCACTCAGCCTACAAGTTTTGGGTTTGAATTCATGTTCTGTTTTGTTTGAAATATTCTTACACTATCATACAAAGATGTAAGTACAAGTAGTTTGCTTTCGGTTTGAGCAGGTCTGGTAAAAGGTAAAGTTGTCCTTGTGCTTAACTAATTAAGCACTATGCCACGAAGATGTATGGCAGAGTGGATCTATATATATATTTTGTGTTCTATGCTGTCATTCTTGCCCTTTCATTCCACATTTTTAAACCTGCATATTTAATTTAACTAAGAAAAAGCTACAAATCAATCAATAACTGCACTGGGGGATGGAGATGCAGTTTATGATGAGGACAGTAACTTGTCATTGGTGAGAACATATTACTAAACAGGAGTTCCTCAAACATTTCCAAAGTTGGGTTCAAAGGATGCAAATATACATATAAAGAGGCAGAGTACTGAGAAGTGAACAAAGTTGGTGTGCTCTGTGTTCAGTAATAAACATTTTTACAATAAATGGAACTACAATACATTCTGAAATAGCGTTTACTTTTGGATTGCAATCTGTAAGCTGCTCTTAGTGACATTAATGATAAGCCATAACTATGCCACAGTTTAAGATACTATCCAAGCATCTAAAAACGAGCAAAAGAGAACCATGCTCAATGCATTTTTTTTAGTGAATTACAACTATCATTCTTGAAATATGTGTAGCATGTTCAACGAGAAGTATTCTTTGCAAAACTGTAATGTTAAGTGATGTGATGACAGAACATAACATTGTACATCGTTCTGTATTAGAATCTATTTCTGTTCCAAGTGATCACCAGATCCTTTCTGCTTTCAAACGCAGCTGCTGTTTTTGCAGAACACACAATCTGGGAACTGCCAGCTACCCACCATCACAAAGCAATTTACAAGACAGCATGGGTCTGTATCCTACCTGAAGAGGTATCAGTTTTTGCAAGTGTGTGTGTATATGTGTGAGTGTGTGTGCTCGTGGGTCCACGTGTCTGAGAGCTGGAATGGCTCAGTCAGTAAGGTGGCTAGCTACACATGGGGTGACAAGGGCTTAATTACCAATGGGACAGAGGCTTTTCCTCTGCCAACAGCAATTGCATTTGTAGTAACTGCTAATCTGACGATTCAGACGGTACCAGTATTGGATGAGAGAGTTATTAACCAGTTGTTTCTCTGCATATGATTTAATAAAAGCAAAAACTGGTTTCAATCAGGGAATATTTTCAAGTTTACATACTGCATTACTCGTATGTTGCCATAAATTACAGACTGGGGTTTACATAGTAGTCTCGACTTTAATTCTTGCCAGATACTAACACAGAAAACTGCAGTGAGGACTAACGATAAATATTTTGTTTTGCCACATTTGAGGCGGTTCTTCATGTTCACCAGACACAGTTAACAAAAAAAAAAGTGTAGAAAGATTACAAACAATGACTTTACCATATTAGGACTGAAGAGAGATGAAGTGATGGGAGGATTGAGAAAACTGCGTAATGAGGAGCTTCATAACTTGTACTCTTCTCCAAATATAATTACAATGATCAAGTCAAGGAGGATGAGATGGACAGGACATGTAGCACGAATGGGGGAGAGGAGGAATGCATACAGGATATTGATGGGAAAGTCAGAAGGAAGGAGACCACTGGGAAGACCAAGACATAGGTGGGTGGACAATATTAAAATGGATTTCAGAGAGATAGGATAGAATGGTATGGATTGGATCGATTTGGCTCAGGATAGGGACTAGTGGAGGGCTCTTGTGAACACGGTAATGAGCCTTCAGGTTCCATAAAATGTTGGGAAGTTCTTGAGAGGCCGCACAATTGGCAGCTTCTCAATAAGGGCTCAGATCCATGTATGAGGACTTATCAATACCGCGGAACTAAGCGGTCATGGCCTACTAGTATTTCAAAGTTATCTTTTAGCATTGCATAAATGGACTAAGGAAAACCAAGCAAAGCTTCAGTCAGGGTAGCCTGTCTGTGGGACCTCCGAATGTGACCACACCATAATGAGTGCAAGAGGGAAGTACTATTTTGTTACCCGTATAAGTTTGCTTACCCATGAAGCTTCTGAGATGTATTAGGGAAGCCTTCAATCGATCCTCGGCATGAACACCAACTATTCCTTCTGAGGTTTTCATAGTCTTTCATAAATTCAAACCGTTTTCTCCCTAATCCTTTCCACTTCAACCATGATCATCCTCTACCATCGGATGCTATATAATCTACACATTTAACAGACAGTCGTTAAATAACCTCCGAAGTTCATACAGCTTTGTTAAACAGTAAATGATCAACTGATCCTACGAGCGACTTATCTGTATGGAGCATACCATTCCATCACACGAACTCTGAGCCGCTGTGGTAGGTTTTAACACACTAGGCCAATGGTAAGAGCGTTTGTAACATGCAACTACACACTTCACTTATGAAATTACAACAGATTCAACTGTTATCGTCAAAGACAAAATTATCCCTGCCGCCAGGCTATTCTGATTTTCCCGTTGTCTTCGTCGGTACTTTCAGGTAAAGGCTTTGAAATAGTCCACGACCTCTTCCACCACCATCCTTCTCACTTCATTTTTGATCATTATTATATCGCGATGCTCATCGACCTATGCGACTGGTACTAAGCTACTCGGTCTACGCAACTGATACTATGTTACTCGACCTACACAACAGATATTATGCTACTAGACGTACGCAATTTATGCTATGCTACTAGGTCTACGCAACTGATACTATGTTACTCGACCTACGCAACAGATATTATGCTACTCGCCGTACGCAATTAATGCTATGCTACTAGGCCTACGCAACTGATACTATGTTACTCGACCTACGCACATATACTATGCTACTCGACCTACGCAACTGATACTATTACTCGATCTACGCAAATGATGCCAACTTCTTACGAAATTGCTACACAGCTAGCCAATAAATTCCCTGTTTTTTATAACATGAAAATTTATCTCAGTGTTCACAAATGTCCACAACTTGGCCCCGAGCTATTTAAATCCAGCCCACAATTTCATTACTATTTTTTCGAGATATTTTAGTAAAATATTTCATAAACTCCTAGACTTGCAAAGTTTTCCATTTCTTTCGGGTTCTTCTACCAACACTGTACATTAACTCATTTCCCGACTCGTGCTACATGCTACGTCCATCTTATCCTTCTTGATTAAATTATCCTAATCACATCATACGCGAACGACAGACATGTGTTACACCCATGTAAT